TTTTTAATTTTCGTTTGAATTCTTGGCACAGGACGCACCATCAGCAGTCTGAACAAGTAGCTTTTAAGCCAGATTACGTAGTAACTAAAAGGTTTCTAATTTTCGTTTGAATTTTTGGCACAGGACGCACCATCATCCTGACGACGCACTTCATGGACGAGGCGGACCTGCTCGGTGACCGGATCGCCATCATGAGCGAGGGCCAACTGCAGTGCTGCGGCTCCAGCGTGTTCCTCAAGGAGCGCCTGGGGAGCGGCTACCACCTGACCGTCGAGCTGGAGGAGGCCAAGCCTTACGACCTTGAGCGTGAGAGGATAAATACCCGGTTAACAGCCCCCTACCCACCACCACCCACCCCTCAAAAAAAATCATTAGAATGCCCTGCCACACACTCACACACGGGTTCACTTCTATGTATCTGTACTGAGTCACTGTTACTCTGTCACAGGGAAGAAGCGGCTGCACCACGAGGTGCAGTCTGCAATGCCGACCGCGCAGCTCCAGGACCGCGACGACGTACAGGAGTCCGAGTTGGTATACACGCTGCCTGACCGACACAATGTGGACGCTATCATCGCCTTGCTCGCGCGGCTGGACAAGCGGCGCGAGGAGCTGAGCATCGCGTCGTACGCCATCTCGGACACCTCGCTCGAGGAGATCTTCCTAAGGGTGGCAGGCCGCACGGAGGAGGAGGTGGACGTGGGTAGCAGCCGCAGCGATGTGGCCAATGTGCTAGATGACGACTCTTCCAGCGAGCTGCTGATGGACCCGCTGTCCGGCGGCAGGCTCCTGTGGCACCAGTTCGCCGCCCTCACGCGCAAGCGCTTCAACTACGCCCGCCGCGATCCGAAGGGTTACTTCACGCAGGTATCTTGCAGTGCCAGAAAACAAATCGCATTCCTTTGAACGGTATCCTTCCTGATTAGTGTCGTCTCTCCAGCTCATGCTGCCAGCCATCATCGTATTGCTCGGCCTCGCGTTCAGAACTGAAAGCAAAAGCGGCACCCCTCAAGCTCGAGGCACGCGGGACACAGCGATCCAGATGCAGCCATCTCTACTCAGTTGGCCCGTGGTGTCTTTCTTTGAATTGGAAGAAGTAACGTAATCAGTCTTGTCTATATGCCCCTCGCCTTGCCCGTGTCTCTCCCTTTTCCTGTCTGTCTCTCTCTCATCATATATTTTTTATCTCTCTCACTCTAGCCCGCGCAGGGCGACGCCTGGGGAGTCAAATATACCGAGTCAATGAAAATCGACGGTTTAAGTGCGAGCCTCGTCGCCGGCGGCACCGTCAACAAAGAGTCGGACCTCCTAAACCGCAGCAAGCTTGGCCACGAGTGCGCCAACTCGCCGTCGGTGAGTGTCCCAGTACTTGTATAGCGGTCGGCCAGCCTAACTCACTCGATCGAAAAGACTATCCTGGGAAATGCCTACTTTATCCACTGTCCTGTCGTCCTGTCACGTTGTAGAATCCTCCAGGCGCAGACTGGTCGGTGGCCCTCCTCCCCAGCAAGGAACTGGTCTACAACGTGACTGGAAGTGACACCGAGACCTGGCTCATGAGTACTAACAGCGCGTGCCAGCGGACTAGGTTCGGCGGGGTCTCGTTCGGCGTCCAGTACGACAACGGGTCGCTCGCTCAGCTCGGGGAGTTTGGACTTGCTGACAATACAAGGGTACATCTCGCTTTAGCGCAAGTGTCCCAGATCCCAGATGGGCCGGTGATCCTAGTCCTAGCCCCCTTCTCATGTCCTCCCAGATCTGGTTCTCCACAAATGGCTACGCCTCCGTCCCTGCGTACCAGAACGCCATCAACAACGTGATCCTGAGGGCCTCTCTACCGCCCGACAAGACACCAAGGGACTACGGCATCCTGACGAATAGCTGGGCATTGCCTGCCGACCAGGACGAGGATGGCGAAAAGGGGATAGACCCAGGGTCTGTATGAACAGTCTTACTTCAGGAATTATTCTTGCAGTTCTGGTGGCATTTCCAGTAACTCTTATGCTGGCATTTTTCAGAGATAAAAACCTCGTCGTTTGGTCCACGAATATGCTTCTCTTCGCCATGAGCTTCGTACCCGCGTCCTTCGTCATGTACCTTGTGGAGGAGCGCGTGGGGCAGTCCAAGCACCTGCAGCTCGTATCCGGTCTGCGGCCCTACATCTACTGGCTGCAGAACTACACGTGGGATCTGGTGAGTGTCGGGCGGGAGGTCAGCCTGGCCGGGCGCCTGACGGTCGCAGCGTAGGCCACACCGGGGCGGGAGCGCACGGCTGTGATGCGGGACGGCCTACCCCACAGGCGCCCGAGCCCACAACGTAGCGAGCGCGGTAGCGTCGTGGCACCGGTAACGCATAGCAACAAAAGTGGCAAAAATTATAGGAAAAAAACAGCAACGCGGCATTTTTATCTGTCGTTTTTCGTTTGTCAGTGAAAACTGAACCAAGAAGAATCGATTTCCGGCCCTGGAAGTCGTATCTGTAATGGTTTTCGTTAAAGGCTTTTATTCCTCTCATGTAGGTGAACTTCGCAGCAACCGAAATTTTGGTCATTATGGCCTTCATCGCGTTCCGAATTCCATATTTTCTACCGTGCGAAAATCTCTGGGCAGTCATACTTCTCCTATTCTTCTATGGGTGAGTAGTGAGTACCTAGGCGTCGATGCCTTTTACATTTATAATGAGCTCGTCAAATGTATTCCGAGTCTTAATCTTGCCCATGCTCAGGATGGCTTGCACTCCGCTGCTATATATCTTCCACTGGTTCTTCCGCACGCCCAGTATGGCCTTCCTGGTGCTCTTGACAGGAAATATTTTCATTGGCTTTGTCAGCGTAGACACGTTTTTGGTGATGGCGTACACGAGCTCGGTGGGTAGCGCTTCCTAAATGCTGAAGGCTAGGGTTGAAGCCCTGGACAGTTTACGGAAAATTTCAGGAAAATTTCGGGGGAAACGAAAAATTTTCTGGAAAAAAATGGAAAAATCTCCCAGATTTTGGTAAGTCTTCCGTTTTTTTCTGGAAATTTTCTTGGAAATTTCCAACCCTACTGTAGGCTGTAGATGTTTGCCAACATTAGGGCTGAAACTGGACTGGACTGAATGAGAAAGAATGTTACGCTCTCTTGGCCGTAGCAAGTCCTGCCAACCCTGGAGGCGGTGCTCCTGATGCTGCCACAATACTGTCTAGGACGGGGATTCCTTAACGTGGCAATAAACCACTACGTAGGAGAAACCAAGCGTTACGGTGCGGTATTTATAACGATAACCACGAAGTCTGGTGTGTTGTTCGAAAGTAAGTTGCTCTCAGGTTCGCACTACCGGCTTTTCAGGGCGTGAGCGCATCCCACCACTTGACTGGGAAGTCACGGGCAAGTACTTGGTGGCCATGGCCGTCATGTCGGTGGTGCTAGCGGTCGCCGTGTTCCTCGCGGAGCAGAGCACGCACTGGTGGCACGGTCTGGCGCGGGGCAGTGTCAATGTGGTCGCCCAGGGCGTCGCCAACAAGGGAGACGACGTGCTGCGAGAGGAGCGGCGTGTCGCGGAGGGCGGCGCCGACCAGGACATTCTCGTTCTCAAGAGGATTACTAAGGTACCTACCTTGCGGTAGCTGTAAACAAAAGATTTTATATAAAAAACAAAAAAAAAACATACTTAAGCCTTGATAAGCCTAAATGATCCTGGGTGAATGAATAATGTTGGTTACTTATCAAGTAAATTCTTAGTACTGTCAATGAACAAATTTTACATATTACTTTTTGTTAGTTGTCAACAACTATCAACAATTATCTACTCAGTAATACTTTGCATAGGACATAGGGACTGGTATGATCTTAGTTTTGCCAAATACATTCGCATCCGGGCAAGTTGATTTACGTACTCGATTCAAGAGCGTCCTTTCCGGGTTGTAATGCTCTACAACTGCCTTTGTACGATTCGCATGCGTCGATAGTGCAAATTTTACACAAACTGCAAGTGCAGCGTATCCATCCCTAAGTGGACCTACAAGTTTCACGATGTTCCATATTCAGACGGATAGTATTGGCTACAAAATGTATACCTCCGAAATAAACAGGTTATTGACTACAAAATGGGGATGGGTGACATTATTATGTGTTTCCTGTCCGCAGCGCTACAACCGTAAGGCGCCCCCCGCGGTGGCGGGCGTGTCGCTCGGCGTGGAGCGCGGCCAGTGCTTCGGCCTGCTCGGCCTCAACGGCGCCGGCAAGACCACCATCTTCAAGATGCTGACGGGAGACACGCTCATCTCCGGCGGGGACGCGCTCGTGTCCGGGCGGTCCGTGCGCGCCGACATGGACTCGGTGCGCCGCATGACGGGCTACTGCCCGCAGTTCGACGCGCTCGTGCCGCTGCTCACGGTCCGCGAGCACCTCGACCTGTACAGCAGCCTGCGGGGGACGCCGGACAGGCATCGGCCCCTGGTGCGTATCTCATGAGGCACCCTGTGCCGTGCACACGGACACCGGCGGACGCTAATGCACTGCGCCCTTCTCGTGTCCCGCAGGCCGTGCGCCGCGCCATCCAGCTGTTCGACCTGGGCGCGCACAAGGACAAGAACGCCAAGGACCTCTCGGGCGGAAACAAGCGCAAGCTGTCGGCCGCCATCGCGCTGGTCGGCGAGCCGTCGCTGCTGTACATGGACGAGCCCACCACGAGCATGGACCCGGTGGCGAGGCGCTTCGTGTGGCAGCGCGTGCGGCGAGTCGTGGCATCGGGCCGCTCCGTGCTGCTCACCTCGCACAGCATGGAGGAGTGCGAGGCCCTGTGCGCGCGCCTCACCATCATGGTCAACGGCAAGCTCACCTGCATCGGCAGCCCGCACCACCTCAAGCACAAGTACGGCTCGGGCTACCTGGCCGTGGTGCGGTGCAGCCTGCCGCGGGTGCACGAGGCCACCGAGCTGCTGCTGCAGCGGCTGCAGGGCGCCACGGTGGTCGAGAGCCACCTGCACCAGATCAAGCTGCAACTGCCACCCCATCTGTCGCTCATAGCCATCTTCACCGCCCTGGACGAGGCACGGCGCGGGGGCAGCGTCGAGGACTACTCCGTCACGCAGACCACCCTCGAGGACGTAAGTGTCGATCTCTCCCTTATGCGTACTACTGCTGTTACAGACGGGTGTTGTTACTTCTTATTCTGCGTGTTCCAGGTGTTCATGCGGTTCGCGCGGGCGCAGAGGGCGGAGCAGCCTTAGGGGAGGAAGAGGGGAGGGGCGATAAGTAAGAGGCAATATTGTGGTGGTATATGGTCCCTTGTGTTACCGGTGTCAATTTTGCAAATAATCGACAAATAAATGGAAACTATGTGACCGGAACTGGCTCATGTGTACCATTTAATTCTTTGCCACGTTCCCTGAGGCATGACCAGTATGTGGTCACGCTCTCACGTTAAAGCATCAATAATGGGCCGCAGAGAATGTGTCAACAAAACAAAAATATTTTTCTTATACCTTTTTTCAAAAATAAATAAATAAATTATAAATATGTAGGAGATAATGGCGTTTACGCTGGGTCTACGACTTGTAAGTTTACTCGGAAGCACATCATAGTCTTCTTGCTCTCATCTTGGAGAGCGATTTCCACGGCGGGTGAAATCTGCATGAAAAAAGTCAAATGGTTCATTTGTTCCGTCAGCGCCTAACACAGTTATACCCTGAAATACGCGGTCAACTCACATTGGGGTAGTTGGAGTCTATATCTAGCTCCAGCTTGTAGGTAATCTCTTCGTACTGGTCGAGGGGACACTCTGCGTTGGTCAACGACATGCACGCGTTCTTCTGTTTGAGGGGAAAGTTGACGACCGTGCCCAGGGCGTAGGCCGTCACCGCCACGTCGAGCTGCGTCACGTCCCAGCCGACCTCAAAGTCCACCTCCATGACGGCGACCGACCCCTTCTCGATCAGGCACGGCTGCTTGGCGCAACCCTTGATGCGCAGCGCGATCGGGTCGTGGGCCTCCGTGCCTTGAACATCGCAAGCACACCGACCATTCGGTGAAAATCGCCGCTTGTGAGGTCCAGAACGCACGGCCACGCCATGCGCCCCCTATACTCACAGGACAAGAAGGGCGTGCTTGCCGTAGCCGCGCCGGCTGCAAGCAGCAGTACCGCGAGCAGCAGCATCGGGGAGGGGGTGTGGTACTTCATGTCGGCGAGAAGAAGCACTACTAGCGACGAGACTAGCGAGGAGCGACGAGTTATATGAGGGACTAAGTGCAAGGCGAGCGGCGCACCAAACCAGGTGTCCACCACCTGCGGACGCTGCAGGCGAGGGGTTATCAGTCAGCTGCTCGAGCACCTGCGTGCCCGGCCCCCGGACACCTGCAGTCCAGGTGGCTGCAGATAACGCGGCCGGAGGGTTTTGGATCAGTTTATCCCGCTGAGTCACACGCATTTCACAACGCCACACCTGAGTGGCGGGAACCACAATCACCGTTTGTGTCGACCCATATATGATTACACTAAATTGCAAGGGCCCCTTTCGACTTCTTTTGTTTTGTTTTCTCTTCAAAGTCTACCGTGACACATTTCGTTATTCTTTTGTGCGCTGTATCTCAAAACGCAGCCCAAGGAGGAGGGCAAAGTCAGCATGACATCAAAATGATGTCAAAATGACTACTAAAACCAACGTAGGGGACTATTTTGACATCACGAAGGCATCAAAATGGTCCCCAATTTTGACCTTAAGGGTCATTTTGACGTCATTTTGATGTCATGCTGACTTTGCCCTCCTCGTTGGGAGGGGTGGATTTGGGGAAAAGGGTGAGGGGGGGGGCAAACAGCTTAGAAAGAAAGGGGAAATGGAGAGTGAGCGAAAGTAAAGGGAAAAGGAAAGCTGAAAATAGAAAGGGGGAAAAGGAAAAATGTAGGTATTTCTATATCAGTGGAATGAATCACGCATTTCCCATCAGCTGGCTCGACTTGGGGTTGTCTCGTCTCAAAGCATTGCATACGCGCTACTTTCTGTTCTCGCACTAGTTCACTTCACTTGCGGCCCAACAGATATAAATAAACAATGTACCCTACTCTGGCCAGAGACTACCAATATTTGTTGTCAAAGTGTACTCACCAAAATCCGCCACAATGCCGGCAGCTAGAGTCAGCTTAATCCAACCCGCCTATAGAACATCCTTTTTCGGCTAATAATATTATTATGAAATCCAAAGCCTTCAGGGTACAAGCAGAAGGCAAGGACCTGCTCTGCACATAATCATTGACCCTGGCCTAAGTCCCTGCTCCCAAAGGAAGAGCAAGGGAGGGGGGGAGGGGCACGTTTTTTTCCTGCTGGTAGAAACAGTCTTTAAGGGACTGTCTAAAAATAATCTCTGTCACTTCCATTCAATTTTTTTCATGGAAACAATGTTGGTTAGGGCAAGTCCAAAAGCCACTTTTTTCGATTTCGAATGACAACGCCTGCGGCGCGTCGGGTAGGCCTTCCCGCCAAGGGTCTGTCTGGAGATGGTGGCCTACCCTCAGCGCCTGAGCGGCGATACTCCCTGCTAGCCGCCTGCTCTCGTCAACATAAGTGGACGCACATACCCTGCAACGAGACTACGGCCGGGCAAAAGCCAACTGCCAACACTGTTGTCGTTTGAATGGTCTTGTGGTTGTTTGTGACTTCGCGGAGGTAAGAAACTGCTGTTGTTATTTTCTTTTTGTTCTGGTTCGTCTTTGCAAATTATAGATTTGTCAGTATAGTGTCATAGAGACACCTCTATGCGTAGAACACAATAGTGGTACTCATCCACAAACTCATCTACATAACCTCATTTTAAAGGGCGAGTAGGGTTTAAGAGTAGAGTAAAGGGAAGTGAGGTTAGGATGCTTTTCCTCGCGAATGCCCCGCGAAGTGATATGTCACGGTTTGTCACACCACACCACGGGGATGCTTCGCGGATGTCCTCGCGAGTCACCCTCATCGCGAGGCATTCGAGTTGTCGCGAATCGCGACACTTCGCGGGGCGCTCAGAAGGGGCCACTTCGTCACTCCCCACGCCCTATTCTTTCCTACTCTGCTACATTGTAGATGGCCCTTAAATTTACTACCTTGTGCCACACTTTTTATTTTGACATTTCTCTATGCATATTTAAATGAATGTCTAAAATTTCTTCTGTTCCACTTTTATCGGGCTGTTGGTATTTGGTATCTAACTATAGAGAGAATGAAAACTCGCAAAGTACGAGTGCTCAAAATAATACCATTAAATAACCTGTAGAAAGGTTCATTGCTTTAATTAAGACCAGCGTCTTCGCTCTATAATCGTACTATCATGTCTGTAGGTGTTATGTGTCCCTAGATGAAAGCACAAACCGTTCGTAAAGGGTGACACCACACTGAGATCAATACTCGTTCTTCCTATCACCAAGAGGGTTAAGTGGGCTGGTAAAGAACGAGTAATGAAAGCCTCAAATGGCCTGAAATGGAAAATTTAATGTACAAAGTGAATGTAACTAAGGCCATTGAGAGTAATTGTAGCCCCCCCCCCCCTCCTCATTCCGTCACCATCCCAGCTCTAG